AATCTCTGTATCAGAAGAGCCACTTGGTAAGACAGAAGAAAAACCAAAATTATGGGACTATTCTGTAGTGATATTTTATTTATATTTTAATAAGTAATGTTTGTCCGAAGATCAGATTGCAAAACTAACCCACTAGAGACCAGGGAGTGGTGGTAAACACCTTTAATTCCGGGACTCGGGAGACAGAGGCAGATGGATTTCTGTAAATTCAAGGCTGCCCTGGGCTATACAAAATCAATCCAGAAATAGATCTAGGTGGTGGTGGCTCATGCCTTTAATCCCAGCACTAGGGAGGATGGAGACAGGAGTGATATGGCTGAGCGGAGAGAGAATATAAAAGGGAAGAGACAGGAACTCACTGGAGTGTGAAGTCTGAGGTCTGATGGAGATACAGTTCTGTCTAAAGCAGTCTGAGAATCGCCCCTTCAGTCTGAGCACTGGTAGAGGTAAAAGGTCTCTCCAGAGAAGCTCTGCTTCTCTGATCTTCAGTTTTAACCCCTATATTTGTCTCTGAGTTTTTATTATTCATGCTACACTATTCTATTGCCACTAATCTCATAATCCTTTGGTTTTATTATGACTCCTTAAAACTTTTCTTTAGGTATGAATATTATCTCAAAATGTATAAGATTTATATATATTTACATATATATATTTAAACTTTCTGCTGTGATATTAATGATCATATAGAGTACTAATTCTAGAAAAAAAAGCTTAATCTAGCTTCCTGTACATGATTTTATGGAGCTGTTGTTTTTACTCTTTGGCTCTATTAGGGGGTGTGCCGCCCAGCCCCAAAATAAATACACAAAGGCTTTTCCTACTTATAAATGCCGGGTCTTAGCTTGGCTTCTTTCTACAGACTGCTCAGGACAATTTCAAGGTGGTTGGCTAAAATGGTCCAGCTTCACAGACACCTCCAGCCAGGACTTCAGCAGGCCCTGCACTTTCCCATCACACAGAGACTGGACAACAAATGATACAACTGGCTTTCCCAGGACTTGACCACTATCCCAGTTTTCTCAGAGTCCCCTAAAGATGTTGTCACCCACAGAGAGCAGGAAGTAATTTTAAAAACACAATGCCCACATTCCCAAGAGGTGGGTGGATGGTTTTTGATCATTTGGTGGGTTATGGATGTTTCTTATCATTTAGGGGGTTTGCTTGCAAGTTCTTACTGGTTATAGTCAGGGAGGAAACTAAGCAAAGAAAGTTAGATTCAGGGATCTCTTTCTGAAAAGAAAATGGGGGTATAGGAATGATCGGATAAAGGGAAAGATCATTTAATCTATGTTTAAAGTAAAGAAGTAACTAGTCTCCACCATTTTACACTGGTAAGAATTTTTGTATATTGATACAAACTTAAGGTTATTTTTGTAACACTGTATATGTTTTTACTCTTGTTTGAGGTACTGTATCTGTGCAGCTTGTTTAACAATGTAATGTAAATCTCTAGTCCTTGAAAGTTATTATTACAAACTATTTAGGATAATAATTGCAAGATAGTAATTAGTCATCTATAATAATCACACTTGTAGTCATGCTAGGTATGTGTTGAGGTCAAAGATATATTTTAGATAGGCAGCAGTCTTCAAACGTTTCAGAGATCTGCAGAATATGGCATTTAAAACGTTGAATCTCAGATAGGCACGGCCCTGGACCACAGACTGCAGAATGTCTCTTGCTTCTGCTGGGCCTTCACATGCTTTCTGTGCCATCTCTCTCTGGCATCTGTCATGGTGTGAATGGGTGTGGGGAGATTCCCACTGTCTGTAGTGTGGTGTGCTTATCTCGTGGAAACATCAGTTCTTCTGGGCATTCCTACCTGTGGATTATTATGAAGATGGTTAAGCGCTCCCCTTTCTCCACCAAGAAGGCCTTTTCCCTTCATTTATTCTTTGTCTCAAGAGCCATTTTATTTGTATCTTTAATATTTTCAATAATTGTGCAGGCAATGATTTTCCTTTAACAAGTATTTTAGCAACTGCACATTTTGTTGCTCCTGATACGCGGAATTTAAACTCCCCACGTCCCTACCAAATCCTGGAGTCCTCCCTTGTGAGCACACATTTCACGTCCAGTCCTGCTGTGTGCAGATACCTTCTTCTCTGAGCACACCAGCTGTCAGTGTTCCCCGTTGCTCAGATCCCGTGAAGAGAGTCACTCAGGCTTAGCAACAGCAGTAGCTGGGCGCCAGCTTCTGATGAACTCGCTGCCCAAAGCCTCTTTTGCTCTTATACAAATCACACCTTGAGCCAAACTCTTCTCTGGCCTTGTTTGAAGGAAGGAACCATTCGCCTAAGCAATTCTCAGCCGTGACACCTCCTGGTTGGCCAGGTCCTTCAAGATTAAACTATGCAAAGGATCTGTAATTCCTTCAGAGGAGCAGCTCAGGTAACAGTCCCTGACTTTAAACCAAAGGCAGTTCAAAGCCTAGGTGCTATCTCCGGGGAATTCAAGTCAGGAGCACTGGCTCCATGGAATCTCTTTGCTACACTTCCCTAAGTTGCTTTTGGTCAGTGTTACCAGAGCAAGAGAAATAAACTAAGACTCCTTCCTCCCTCTGCAACTTACTCCTCTCTTCCTTCCTCCCTCCCTTCCTTCCTTCCTTTCTTCCTTCCTCTCTCTCCTCCCTTCTTCCTCCTTTCCTCTCTCTCCTTCGTTCCTCCTCTCTTCCTCTCTTTCCTCCCTTCTTCCTCCCTTTCTCCCTTCCCTCCCTCCTTCCTCCTTCCTCCCTCTTCTCTCTCCTCCCTCCTTCCTTCCTCCCTCTCCTTTCTTCTTTCTTTTCTTTCTCCTTTCCTCTCTCCCTCCCTTCCTTTCACCCATTCTTCTTTCCTCTTCCTCCATCTCTTCCTTTTTTCCTCCCTCTCCTCCTTCCTTCCTTTCTCCCTCTCTTCCTTTTCTAACAGAGATAATTCTAACATGAATATCGTTCTGTTACTCAATGTTTTATTGACTTATTAAACACGTGTATTAGTCAGCTTTTACCATCCTGATAAAGAGGGTCCGTTCTCTCCCTCCATCATGTGGGTTCCTGGAATTGTACTCAAGCCACCAGACATGGCAGTTTGCACCTTCGCCCTCTGATCCGTTTGCCAGGCTCGTAACCAACTTTAAAACAGGCATGCAGGCATGCGCTTGTTTCTGTTTGGGAACTGTCACTGGATGGCCAGTTTGTCCTTTTGTTTTTGTGTCTTAAGTCAGCATGTCATGGTGAGAACACACTCATTCACCTCATAGCCAGAAAGAGAAGGGAAAGGAAGACACAGGCATCCCACAATCCTCTTCAAGAGCACATCCCAGCAACAAGCTGAGAAATGGGTTTTGGGGTACCCAAACCCAAACCACAGCAATTACAATCATTTACTAATTACTTGTAGTCATTATTCCTGATACTTTAATTTCTCCTTGTAATTAGATATAATAAGGCTGTAGGCTAAGGGAGATGGCTCAGTCAGTAAATGCTTTCCACACTGAGTTCTTCTAACCCATGTCACAGCTGGACATGGTAGACTGGATCTGAATCCCAGTGCTCCTATGTCAAGATGGGAGCAGAGACAGGAAAGTTCCCAGAAGCTGGCAGCCCCTTACCTAGCAGACAAAGCACCACATTGTTATAGACTTTATATCAAATAAGGTAGAAGCCGATAACAGACCCTGAAGTTGTCCTGAGACCTCCATGTTCATGTCTGAAGTCACACATTCACATCACTCACACATGCGCACACACACACACCATAGTGGTTTGAATGAGAAGTGTCCCCTGTGGCTCCAGTATTTGCACACTTGGTTTCCAGTTGGTGATGCAGTTTGGGGAGGTCTAGGTATCGCTGGGAGTGGACTGTGAGAGAATGTATCCTCCCCCGACTTGTAATTTACCCTCTCTGCTTTGTCCTTGCTTACAGAGGTGAGCGCTAGACTTCCTGTCCTGCAGCCTGCCTCGTGCTTCTGGGCCTCCCCGCCTTGATGGACTCTCATCCCTCTGGAACCATAGTCAAAATAGTCTCTCTGCTTTAAGTGGCCTCTGGTCATCATGTTTTATCACAAAGACAGCAAAGTAACTAATTCACACAGAGCGAGAACCAAACACAGAAGGCCCAGGAGCGGCTCAGCTGGGAGACACTTGTCAAGGTCCACAGCCTCGGTTCCAGCCCAGTGACCAACATGGTGGCAGGTGAGAATTGTCTCCAGCAGGTTGTCCTCTGACCTTCACTTGTGCACCATGACACATGCATACTCCCACACATACACAACAATAATCATGATATTAATGATAATTAATTAAATAAAAATGTAAAATTATTAAGGTTGCCTTGTCTTGTCTTGTTTTGCAATGCAGAGGATGGAATTCAGAGTCTTTTTATGTTCTGTTTTGGTTTGGTTTTTTGAGACAGGGTTTCTCCGTGTAGCCCTGGCTATCCTGGAACCTGCTCTGTAGACCAGGCTGGCCTTGAACTCACAGAGATCCTCCTGAGAGCTGAGATTAAAGGTGTGTGTCACCACTGCCTGGTTGAAATCCAGAGTTTTATATACATTAAGCAGCTGATTGATTGCCTCTGAGCCACCTCCCCAGTCTTTGGATTTTGTTTTTTGTTTGTTTGTCCGTTTTTTTTTTCTTTTAATACAAGGCCTTACTGTAGTTCCTGGACTGACCTCAAGCCCATGGTCCCCTTTGTCCCTTCCCCCCAAGTGCTGAGATAATAGGAGATTGCCACTCTGGCCAGCAAAGTTGCACTAGAAAAAATTGGGGTGCTTTCCCTTAAATAGACAATTTGCCCAGGGCATGAGGAAGGCACATCTGGAGAAGGAACACAAGAGAAGTCTGCGAGGTTGAAGTTGCAGCTTGCTTTGATTTCCAGAACTCATTTCGGGGGACCAAGCGGTGTCTTGTGGCAGCTGGGAGGCCACTGGCTGGGAGCTGCCAGATGCGAACACATAGCCCCTCTGCACGTGGATGCCAGGCAAAGCGTCAACATATATCTTATCAAGGAGAATGGACTCCTGTGGAAAGCAATTAAGGTCCAGAGGGCAAGAGGATCGTATGCTAAGCCAGCCTTGGGGAAACTCAGCAGATCAGCTGGCAGCCAGCACAGAGCAGGGTCTGGTAGCCTCGGAGAGGCAGAGTGCACCTGCTCACCTACCTGACGAGGATGGGGAACAAGGGGACAGAGACACCTCTGCCCAAGCCACACACGAAAGGAGTAAGTGCCAATTTTGGAAACCGCCTGTCCCACCAAGCTGGAGACCTTTGTATGTAGATGAGGGACCTGGAATCAGTCTATAAGGGAGAGGTTGGAGGTTAGAAGACTGCAAGGGGACTGCCACACCCAAATGCCGTGGCTCAGAGCAAGCATGCTCCAGTAAAACTTTGGGGAGGCCAGATAGTGCTGCTTTATAACCCTCATCTACCCTGTTCTCCACCCTTAAGGACAAAGGCAGGAGAAATGTGCGCCTGGAAACAGAAAGGAAGGCCCCAGCTCTGGCAGCACCTGCTTGGGTCTGCCTTCCCAAACAGCCCCCTTCTTCTCCTCCCAGGATCATAGTCTGCTCCTATCCAGACCTTCCTTTCCATCTAAGGAGGAAATGGAGGCCTACCCTCCCTACCCCACTCCCAATCCTAGAAGCTTCAGGAACCAGCCCTACCAGAGTCCCTAATCTTGGAAATCTCTCCTACAGCGCCTCCGGCCCACACTGATCCTGAGTACCCTAAGCGCATCCTTTGGCTCAGCCTTCCAATATGGCTACAACATCTCTGTGATCAACACACCTCACAAGGTGGGCACAAGGCAAGTCTCATGGGTAAAAGTCAGTTGCTGTTTCCCTTCTGGAAGCCTCCATCTTCTCCTAGGACTCCCTAGATGTCCACCTCTGAGGGCCAGAGGCAACTAGAGGCATTTTCCCTGGAAATGTCACCTTTTTTTCACATACCAATCCCAGTTCTCCCTTTCTCCTCTCCTCCCGCTTCCCCATCTTCCCCCAACCCCAATCCCCATCCACTCCTCGGAGAGGGTAAGGCTTCCCTTGGGAAATCAACTAAGTCTGTCCCATCACCTCTTTGAGGCAGGAACAAACCTCTACCCCACCCCTAGCTATACCAAGGCTGAGCAAGGTATCTCTCCACAGAGAGTGGGCTCCACTCTCTTCATACATTAGGGTTAGATCCTGGTCCCACTGCCAGTGGCTCCACAATGTCATCTTTTCTAGTCACATCAGTGCTAGTGAACCTGGATTCCGTGCCTAAGCACCTTGGGCTCTGACCCCACTTTGCTCACCGGGTGGAGGGAGGTCATGTGTAGATGACAGAGCCTCTGGTTAGCATTTAGGGACTTGAACTCTGTTAGCAGGGATTGCATTGGGGGCAAGGAGAAGCAACTAAGATAAAGGCTGACTGGAGTGAGTTCAAGAGGGGACAGACGGTGTGAAGCAGAAACCTGGGCCAGGCAGACTTGTGCAGTGATTTCGCTGTATGGGATGTTTAATAGGGGGGGGCAATGAGGGGTCTAGTCTGGGTTTCACACAGTAGGTGCCATGGGTAGACTGATGGGAGACTTGAGGTCCAGAGGGAGAGACCAGTGAAGCAGGCCTCCCAAGGACCTATGCAGAAAGGATGTCCCTGGAGGGGCAAAGGGGACAAGAGCCTTAGCTGGCATGGTCTGTTCACTTCAGTGTATAAATTCAGCAGTGTTTATAAGACTCGGTGTCACAGGAGACAGGCTCAGCAAGGCTCACCTGTCATCCCAGACGCTGAGGATGAGATGAAGTATAGCATTGCTCAGAGGAAGGAAAGCAAGCAGTTCCCCACAGTATATATACATAGGTGAATATGTATGCATGTGGACTGAGCTTATATACACTATATAGTATCATTGCTGAAGCTTCTTTGACCTTATGAAGGTTTGGGTGGTATTATATTTTGCAATACTGAGAATCAAACCCAGGGCCTCATGCACACCAGAAAAGTGTTCTACCACAGAGCAACTTCCCCAGCCAGGTGATTTTTTTAAAAAAATATTTTATTTCACCAGGCATAGTGGTGAACTCCTCTCATCTCAGCACTGGAGAGGCAGAGGCAGGAGGATGTCTTGTGAATTCAAGGACAGCCAGGTCTATACAGAAAGCTTGACTACATAGAGAGACCCTGCCTCAAAAGAACAAAGAGGAAAACACACACATGGATAATCGCATTTATTTATTTGTATTTATCCAGTCATCCGCTTTGGCAGTGACCACTGAGCCACCTCACCAGTCCCAGTCCTAGGTTTATTGAGACATTTTGTACATTAAGCTGGCCCTGAACCATCCTCCTGCCTCAACCTCTCCAGTGTGGTGATTAGAGGCATGAACCACTGCCCGTGGCCCTGCCAGAGAAGCCACAGGGTAGTAAGTGAAGTTCCAGGTGTCAGCCCACCAGGAGGAGAATCCTTGGTAAATCTCCAATAGGCAAGGCCCCGAGACCACAGACTCCAGAATGTCTTTGGCTTCTGCTGTGCCTTTACAGGTTGGCCGCTGCCATCTTTCTCTGGTATCTGGCATGGTGTGAATGGGTGTGGGGAGATCTCCACTGCTTGTGATGTAGAGTGTTTATCTCATTGAAATATCCCATTCTACTGAGCATTCTTACTTGTGGATTATTATGAAGATTTCTTCCTAATCTGTGCTGTCTAATTAATAATAATAATGTTAGTTTAAATACAGTTTTGATGATTGAAAATAAATGCAAGAAAACGCCACACAGCTAGGGCCTTAGAGTTTTACTTAAGGAGCTGCATAGACGGTTAAGGATTAAATTAAGTTCAGGTTAATGATTAAGGAAAACAACTGAGCCCCAGGAGCCTGCTTGGCTCAAATTCAGAGTGCATCACAGCTGAAACAAAGCTGCACCCGGCCTCAGGGCAGATTGAGATGTTTTGATAATCGCTTAGAGATGGAAAACCCTGGAAAACCATCTAAAGTTCACAAGGTCCAGAGCTGAGGGACAGCAGATTCATTAGGTCAGGGATCAAATCACAGAGCAGCCCAATTATTATTACTTGATGTACTTTCTTTGCTAAAATTGATCAGTGACCAAAGACGATGATTAAGTCCTTGTACCCATTTCTGCCCTCAGTCTCCTAACATAAAAGGTTATCGCTGAGTGGGTATGGACCCTAAAGATTTAAAGTAGAGCTGACTGTTTTTCATGCATGAAAGTTTAGGTTTGCAATTTCTTTAAGATTCCTTATAAGATTACCTTTCAAGATACGAAATCAAGTGATTGATTCTTTCTTCGAAATGGAAATACCCAGCCTGCTTGCAAAAGTACCGGCTGAGAAAAATACCCCTGCTTGCTCTCACTCTGTTAATCTGTAACAAGTTGCTCGGGTCCAAGTGAAAGAACAATCGGGTGGACGTGGGTTCCTGGGACAGCTTGTTTTACACCTGTAAAACATAAAATGTTTCATTGTATAAGAAAAACATACTGTTTTTTACTTGTATTCATTGTAATCATTCGTTTGAAAAATACAATGAAACCACATTGAAATTTTTACATTGCTTAAAAGATTTTGCTGGGGTCTATAAGCTGTAACAGAAAAAAAAAACAAAAACAAAGAGAGTTAGAAGGAAGACGTTAAGAAAGACAGAAGGGATGTTTCTGAATAGAGATAAGAATGCAGAATGGAAAAAACAGAATGAGAAGGAGAGTGTGTGAGTGTCTTTCCCCTCAGATTAAAAAAAAAAAGTCATAGGCCAACTCAGGGGATCCCTTTAGAGCCCTACCCCGCTGGAGGCTGGCCCCCAGGCAGCAGAAAATCTCTTTGCCCAGTGTTGTGGCTTAGTGGTTTTTGTGGTGTCAAGAATTAAGCCCAGGGCCTAGAAGGATAAGCAAGTGCTCCACCACTGAGCTACACCCCCTGTTTGGGATCCGATTTGTTTTGTTTTTTAAATCTCTGGGTGTGTGCCTCAATAGAAGCAGGTGGTTGTGAGCCTCCTGACATGGGTGTCACCTGACATGGGCGCTAGGAGCCGAACTCCAGTCCTCTGCCAGAGCTGCAAGTGCTCTTTCCTGCTACATCTCTCCAGCCTCCCCTCTCCACACCACATTTTAAGGCAGAATCTTGGTAGTTGAGACTGGCCTTAAACTCTACGTGTAGCTGAAGCTGACCTTGAAGTTCTGATCGTCCTGCTTCTACCTCCCCCAAGTGCTGAGATTAGAAGTGTGCACCACCATAGCTGATTTTACTCAGGGTTGGAGATGGAACCAGGGCTTTGTGCACACTGGGTAAGTGCTCTACTCTCTGAGCTGCATGCCCAGCCCTGAACATCTCCTCTAAGTACGACACGGGCTAAGTGCTGCCACTATTATAATTAATGTGCTGCCTAGTTTTATGTCAACTTGATACAAGCTAGAGTTATTCTGGAAGATGCTGTAGAATATTATTTTAAGGTGTGCTGCTTTTGTTTGTGCTGATTTGTTTAACTCTGCGAAGCTGTGGTTCTTTGCATGTCTAAAACACCCGATGGTCTAATGGAGAGCTGAACAGCCAATAGCAAGGCAGGAGAAAGGCTAGGCAGGGCTGGCAGGCAGAGAGAATAAATAGAAGCAGAAATCTGGAAGAAAGAATTAGCCAGAGAAGGAGGAGGACTCCAGGGTGGGAGTGGGGGGCTAGCTACCCAGCTACACAGCAAACCATGGAGTAAGAAACAAAGAAAGGTATACAGGGATAGAAAAGGAAAAGCCCAGAGGGAAAAGATAGATAGCTAATTTAAGTTAAGAAAAGATGGCAAAGGCCAGGCGGTGGTGGCGCATGCCTTTAATCCTAGTACTGGGGAGGCAGAGGCAGGCGGATCTCTGTGAGTTCAAAGCCATCCTGGTCTACAAGAGCTAGTTCCAGGAGAGGTTCCAAAGCTACAGAGAAACCCTATCTCAAAGGGAAAAAAGAAAGAAAGAAAGAAAGAAAGAAAGAAAGAAAGAAAGAAAGAAAGAAAGAGATGGTAAGAAAGAAGTCAAGCTAAGGTCAGGCCTTTATAGTTAAGAATAAGCCTCAGTGCATGATTTATTTGGGAACTGGGTGGTAGACCCCTAAAAGAATAAAATCAACATCAGGAAGAGGGAACATAACTTGAGAAAATACTCCCACTAGATTGGCCTGTGGGCGAATGTTTTCTTGATTAATGATTGATGTGAGAGAACATAGCCCTGGGCAGGTGGTCCAGGGTGCTAGAAGAAAGCAGGCTGACCAAGCCAGAGAAGCAGGCCAGTGAGCAGCGTTCTTCCACGGCCTCTGCTTCAGCTCCTGCCTCCAGGCTCCTGCCTTGAGTTCCTGCCCTGACTTCCCTCCGTGATGAGGTGTGACCCGAGAATTGTCAGGTGAAATCGGTCTTTTCTTCCCAAGCTGCTTCCGGTGTTCTGTCGTAGCTATGGAAGCCTTTCTCGACCACAAGCTGATCACTGTGGAACTGGTGAGGAGCTGAAGGCTATGGAGGTCCACTCGCTGCCCAAGGTCACCGACTCACTGCCCAAGGTCACCCAGTTAGTGCGACTCATTCCCACATTGCCTCCAGCAGAACAAGACTCTGAAAGCTAACTTTTAGCAATTTTTGTTGAGTCCAGCTTCCCATCTCTACCCCTCACACAGAGTTTTATTTTGCTCTCAGACACCAGCAGAACACTGGTTCCACTGTGTCCCGTGGGTACTGGCAGGAGCGGTCCTCTATGAGACAGCCAGGGACAGCTAAGAACACTTAGGTCGCCGTTCTGTGAGTGGCACAGTAGCTTGAGCAGCGGATGGGGCCCTGTCTTCCAGATCTTCAAGTCGTTTTACAACGAGACGCACTTTGAGCGGTATGGAACGTACATGGACGAGACTTCGCTGCTGCTCCTGTGGTCCTGCACCGTCTCCATGTTCCCTCTGGGAGGCTTGGTGGGGTCCTTGATTGTTGGCCCAATGGTCAATAAGTGGGGCAGGTAAATAGTAGATGTTATTCCCAAACTTGGAGTTCATCACAAGCCACAGGCTCTCCTGAGGATTGAGCTCCTGCTGAGTAGCTGAGACACCCTGAAATCAGATCTGCAAGCAAGCTTCAGCATGGCTGCAGACATCAGGGCTCAAGCTAGCCAGGCAGATGCTAGGAGCAGCATCCTTCCACCTCCTGCACCAGAGGGGCTGCATCCTCTGAGGTGAAGGTGCTGATGGAGCTTAGCTGGGTGCCTCCTTGTAAGTCCTGTGGTAAGAACTCAGAAAGGCCATTCCAGGAGGTTCATTCTGGGTTCAGGTGGCTTCCGGTCCTAACAGCGCTCTTCACATGGGATCAGCAGGTGTCCTGAAGTTGGGGACAGGGCTGAGTGAATCACCACATGGGCCTTGCTTGGTCTCATATCTCCAATGGAAGTGAAGCCCATGTCTGTGCACTTTGCTTGACTACTCACAGGCCCGGGTTACAGAGGCACGACTGAAGATAAGGGGAGTGTGCAGGTCAAGGTCCCCAGGGAGGTGAAGCCTGAGTTGAGGTCACAGGGTGAGGCACAGATGCCTTCTACTTGGGCAGGCCACGCTCATTTGAACTTGTCACACCGAGTTAGGCTGTGTGAGGATGCTCGGAGTGGAGAACCCATAATGAAAAACAGCTCTAAAAACATAGCGATTTCCTTTCCACGCATTAGACAGTTGGAAACTCTGTTTATGAAAACTGGACCCAGAAGCCTCTCCTTGTAAATACTTGGTGGAGAGTGAACTTCCCTTTCTTGTGCAATTGAGTGAAGGAAGAATTCAATGGATTCTAATCGTGCTGCGGATCAGGCTATGCACGCTGATTGCCTTGCCAACACCGATTAGGTTGTTCTAGAAACCCAAGCTTTCCTTCCTCCTCCTCAGTTACGAAACTTTGGCTGTAGAGGAAACTTAAAGAGGTTTTGTTTTGTTTCGTTTCGTTTTGTTTTGAGAGTATCTCACAATGTAGACCAGGCTGGCCTGTCACTCACAGAGATCCACCTGCCTCAGCCTCCCAGGAGCTAAGATCACACCCATGCTCTTAGACGGTCTCCCCAGACTCATCTTGCAAATGAGAAACCAGGAGGTGGAGTGGGGTCAGCCTGCCTGGTAGGGGCCCATCAGCCTCAGCCTCCCTTCTTGGGGATCAGGAGGGGGGGTATCAGGAATATAGGACTACTATTTATCCTCCTGGGTCTTCAGGGGCTCCAGGGGGGAGCTGCGGGCTGTGGCAGCCCTAGGGAGAGAAAAGCGGCCAGAGAAATCCAGAGTGCACATCTGTACGTTGACTAGCAGAAGACATTTTCATTAGGACCCTATCAGCCCTGCTTAACCTACAAGAGTCAGGAGCTGGGCCCCAAACAGGTCTGCGCTGGGGAGCCATTAGCAGCCCCTGGAGGGGTGTGGCCAGACACAGTTGTAATCTAGCCCTCTGGAGGCAGAGGCCAGAGCCCTGGCTACAAAGCAAATCTAAGGCCCGTCGGGGATACATGAGTCCCTATTTCAAAGAAACTAAAGCAAGCAAGCCACAAAAGGTGGCTTCTGGGGCCTGGAGGGCAGACACCCAGCTTGGTGCTACTTTACAGACCTCCCCTCCCCCCTGCACAGCTCATTGGGTTTCATGGCAGAGGTCCTCTGGTCTCATTCTGCATCCCATCTGTTATGGGAATCTATCTGGTCAACATCCCTGACCAGCATCAGGGAGGGAGCTAGACATCACCAGTGGGGCTTGACTACCCCCAGCCCCCTCAAGCTCCAACCCAGTGCAGCTGCCCTGTTTGGAACCCAATGCTCCCCCTCCCCCCACTCCGGCTTGTGAGCCCTCCTCTCCTAGAACTCTGACACATACTTTCTTTACTGCTTTCCCGTTCTTGGTCAGCTTGAGCTTTCTTCAGTAAACGTGGCGAGAGCGTCATGTTTTATAAGAGCGCTAGTCCCGTCGTGAGGAGTACCCCTCCAACGACCCAGTCATCTGAAGGCCCTGAGGGGCAGAGATTGCTGCACACGCATGACCCTGGGGGACACTCAGGGGACCAGCCCCATCCACCAACCCTCCTCAGGCACAGGGAACAGCCTGGAAGACTGAGTTTGATGTGGGAAAACCTGTGCTGGTCACCATTGTCCCCTGCCATCTTGCAGAAAAGGAACTCTGCTGATCAACAATGTCTTCGCTATCACCCCTGCCATCCTGATGGGAGTCAGCAAAGTGGCCCAGGCTTTCGAGCTGATCATTTTGTCTCGAGTGCTGGTCGGAATCTGTGCAGGTACCAAGAGTGGCCAGCTCAGTCCCTGGGCTGGAGAAGCCTAGAGTAGGAGGCGGCACAGGCCAGCCAGGAGGACCCTGTAACCAGTGGGGATGCTGGGAGAATCTGGTCGCCAGAGTCTGCTTTGATATATTAAATAAGCACCTCAGCCTTTTCTCCTGGGTTTGAGACCTAACTATCAGGAGATCTTGTCTGGAAAGAAAGGAAGGGAGGGAAGGGGAGGGAGAGAGAGAGAGAGAGAGAGAGAGAGAGAGAGAGAAGGGAAAGGAGGGGGGTATGAAGGAGACATTTTATTGTGAAGAACATAAAACAACCCAGTTTTGCAGGAATCTTCCAAGGACAGCCAACAGTTTACACTGAGGATGAATGACTTCAAAGGAAAAGACTACAGAATCTAGTGCCTCTGTCTCAAGCAACAGTTAGCATCTCCCTACCCCCAAGACAGGGTTTCTCTGTATCCTAGCTGTCTTGGAACTCACTCTGTAGACCAGGCTGACCTCAGACTCACAGAGATCCTCCTGCCTCTGCTTCCCAGAGTGCTGGGGTGAAAGGCGTGCACCACCACCGACCGCTGGCAGTTAGCATTCTTAGCTATAGTGCTTTCTCTTATTTTTTACAGTGGAGAGATCCAGGGCTGGCCATGTGGCTCAGTGGTAGAGTGCTTACCTTGTATAAGTACAAAGCCCTGGGTCCAACCCCCAGAACCACACCCACAGGAAATAACAAAAGAAAGGGCTGAGCCTAGCTCAGTGGTAGAGGACTTGTCTTGCATGCATCTATACCACAAGCAAGACAAAACAAAAAAGACTATGTAAGAGATGTGTGCTTAAAAAATAATAGAAAATCAACCAAAATAAGACTTGAGTATTTAAGTTCACATAAAGAGTTACCACACAGCACAGACCCCTTCACTCAACAGCAGTCTGGCGCAGAAGCCGGGAAGGTAACAGTATCGTTTTTTGAATGCTGCCATAAAGAAACCAAAATAGCTACTCTGTGGGTGAAAAGGAAAATTTGCTCCAAACTGCCGAGGCTTTCTTTCAGGGAAAGCAGAGAGAAGCAACTGGGGTGGGGGTGGGGGGGCGGGGGGGGGTGGCAGCAGCGGCAGCAGTAGGGGTGGTGGGCGGTGGTAGGTAGTAGTGGGTACTGGTGTGGGGGGTGATGGTGGTGAGTGGAGGTGGGTGAGATATTTCTAGGGTTTTAAGGGGACAGGTACCCGACCTAGGGTGGAGGGGAGTCTGTGAGCCAGTGTGGATGGCTTTGAAGTCTATAGCAGATACTTGTGAGTAAGGATTGATGGAGCCTAGAGCCGGCAGAGACCCTGATATGCTAATAGGTATAGGTTAATGGAAGAGCCACAGGTCCCTGTTCCCAGAGAAGAATCACTCCTTTTAGCGGGTAGGGACTATTTTCTCATGCTCCGGAGGGACTGCTGGCTTTTGTCTAAATGCCAGACTTTGGAGAAAGGGATTTCTTGGCAGATAGCTTTCACGCTCTAGCAGGGCTGAAAGGGGAGGGTTGGGAGAGGCGGTGGTAGCGGGTTCAAATGGAATGATCAACATCACCCTCTTCCTGTCCCAGCGAGACTCAAGGATTAAGAGATGGGTTGAGTCAACCTTAGGCACTGGGTTCTGAGAGCCTGGGACCGGCTCCTGGTGACCCTGATTCCCCTGTTGTATGAACCAGGAGTCTCCTACAGCGCTCTTCCCATGTACCTGGGAGAACTGGCTCCCAAGAACCTGAGGGGCACCTTAGGAACAATGACTGAAGTATTCGTCATCATTGGAGTCCTCCTGGCGCAGATCTTCAGTCTGCAGGCCATCCTGGGCAATACCACAGGTAACCAGCAGAGTCCTAGAGAGAGAAGAAGGCTCAGATGTAAGTGAGGCTAGGCTGGCCAGTCAATGAGCTCCCTCGATCTGCTTGCCACAGCTCCCCCACCCCAACCCAGCCGCCAGCAGGAATGTTGGGGTCATGGGCATATACAGACACAGTTTTTTAGGTAGGTGCTGGGGAGACAGTTGGGGTCTTCATGCAAGTGTTCTTACCCACCGAGTCCACTCCTCTCTTTTAACATGTATGCCCTTTGTGGGCAGCCACATTTTGGCAAGGACTAGGTGCCCACCACCCTCGATTATCACCTGGTTGGGCAAGGTGGGGGCCGAGGTAGGAGGGGACACAACCGTGCCCCTGTGGGGCCCCTGCAGCAAATTCAAGTCTGAAGCCTTCGTGTTTGTCCCGTCCAGGTTGGCCTATCCTCTTGGCTCTCACGGGGGTCCCGGCACTGATACAGCTTCTCTCGCTGCCCTTCTTCCCCGAGAGCCCCCGTTACACACTGATCGAGAAAGGAGACGAAGAGACAGCAAGACAAGGTACTGGGACACTGGTACTGGGGGCTACTCACCCGCAGCCCCCAGTGCACAAAACGGCACGAAACGGGCAGATGCCATCTGGCGAGATCGCGATCGGGGTCAGGGTCACGGTGGACAGGGTTTGAGAGCTGAGAGCGTGTGCTGGGTGGACAGAGCGATTGGGGCGAGGCCTGGGCTCTGGAGAAGGGCCTGGCTGCGGTACAATAAAAGCAGAGGGTGGATGTGGCATGCTGCCTCTCTGCCCTGTAGTTCTAAGGAGGCTGCGAGGCAGCAACTACGACGTGGAGGCCGAGATGGAAGAAATGCGCGAGGAGGAGCGCAAGGAGCAAGCGGAGGGTCGCCTATCGGTGCTCAACCTCTTCACCTTTCGGCCCTTGCGCTGGCAGCTGATCTCTATCATCGTGCTCATGGCGGGCCAGCAGCTGTCCGGGATCAATGCGGTGCGCGGGACCACCTCTCCCAGAGTCTGGGTCCCCTTGGGTCTTTTTAAAAGGAATTCACAGAAGGCTCAAGAGTAATATTTTGCATTTTGACGCCTGTGAAACTCAGTCTGGCCTTCAGGAGGGATGAGCTGCAAAGATGAGGCTGGGTGGAGGGGTTCAGGGAGCACAGTGCACTCTGGGTGTTTCCTGTGTGAGAAACAGGACCTAGGCTGCAAGGTGGTTCAGTATTAAGGAGCTTGCTGCCAAGAGGGATGACCTGAGTTTGGTCCCTGGGACCTACACAGTAGAATGAGAGAAACAACTCCTCTGACCTCCACTCAAGTGTCATAGAATGTGTGTAGGCTGCTGCCTGCTGCCCGCCTCTGCCACCCTGATTCCTGCTACTGCCTGCTGCCTGCCACTGTCACCCTGCTGCCCGCCACTGCCCTGCTGCCTGCCACTGTCACCCTGCTGCCCGCCACTGCCCTGCTGCCTGCC